GCAAAAAAAAACAAAACAGGTGAGTATAGCAAATTATATCCAGTTCAACTCAGGCCTTTGAGCATTTGAGCTAGAAGATCACGCAGAAGCTGTATGAAAGTACCCTGCATGCCAGCAAATGCCCCTCCATCCATCAGCAACTTAGAGTTCAAATAAAATGAACAGGACTCCAAATCAAAGTCTGAGCCCATGGGAGCAATACCAAAAAAAGATAACTACATGAAAGGCACATCGTCGCCATATGGGCAGGTGGAAATAAACTACTTCCCCCATCAAACCTTACCCAGAAAGACACATCCACAAGATATACGAGTCAAAATGTCCATAATAATAATAATAATAATACCTATAAATAACATAAGATTAAATAAAGTCATTGCCCCCCGATCGCCACATACAGCATAAGATAGCCCACTAAGTCATGAAAGGCAATGACCTAAATCCCTATGTACATTTAAACAAAATGGAGGCTCTTTAGTTTTATTCCAATGGCCATTTGAATATCTAAGCTCACCTGCCAAGTCAAGGTAAGCCTCAAAAGGTGAGTCCTACACTAGCCATTAAATATGCTGATATCAGCCAAGAATCTCCAGTAAGACAGGAAGGGGTATTTTATAAACCCTTTCACATTTAACCCTGTATAAGGCATCTACACATACAATAAACTTCACTGGCATCAGACAAAGTGTAAACATCTCTAATGAGACATAAAGGGGTGTTTTATAAACCCCTACATACTTATTAACCCTGAACACATACGAATCACCTTGCTGGTATCAGCTAAAAGGCAAATTTCTCTGTTGAGAAAGGAAGGGGTGCTGCCCCTACATACTTATAAACTCTTAATAAGACAAACATGGGGTGGCTGGCAGCAATGTAACATAGCTGTGTGATACAAACATCATATACAAACACAAACACAAAGCACCGCGCTTACAGCAGCAGTAGCTTAGTATCCATCAGCTCAAAATACATAGTAAAAACAAAGAGAACGTTACCTGCGCTCTGGCCTAAATCCCCATGTACATTTAAACAAAATGGAGGCTCTTTAGTTTTATTCCAATGGCCATTTGAATATATAACCTTATATAATAAGCTTATATAAGCTTTTATATTCAAATGGCCATTGGAATAAAACTAAAGAGCCTCCATTTTGTTTAAATGTACATAGGGATTTAGGCCAGAGCGCAGGTAACGTTTTCTTTGTTTTTACTATGTATTTTGAGCTGATGGATACTAAGCTACTGCTGCTGTAAGCGTGGTGCTTTATATTTGTGTTTGTGAAAGGCACATCTGTAACATAAATAAACATTAACATATACCAAATGAGGGGGCGGAGCTTGTCTGCCATCTCTTTTAGCTCTCCTGCAGTTCGCACAACCCAGTCAGATATCTCCCAACCCAAAGCCCATCTGACTCCACACCCTGCTCTTTATCCTGAGGGTGAACGGATCCAATTGGTGCCTTTCTTTCAGGCCCTGAAGCAGCCCAGACAGAGGTGCAAGTCTGCAGCCTACCGCATATCACCGTACTAAGCCTCAAGGCCCTGCTTGGCGGACCAGGTGAGGCGCGAACAGCTACAGAACAATACACGCCTAGCACACCAAATATGAGCTGCTGCATGCAAAAATCCTCTACCACAACACCCAGAAGGGACATAGGAGAGACTGCACAGGCAGTGCGCCCACCAACCTTGGGCCCGGACTATGGGGAGCCATGCACCTCAGAAGACCCCTCAAGCAGATCCAGCCTTACCTCCATGATCCCCCGATGACCAACCACCAAATGTGATCTAAAAATCCTTCTAGCTGATATCCAAAAGCTATTGGCAACTGATGTCACCAGGATTAAAGGGGACAAATAACAAGTGACAGATCGAGTCAAACAAAGCTACAGAGGAAAACATAACTGATGTCCAAACAAATATGATTAACTTCAAGGACTCAGTAATGCACCTCTAAGCTGAGCAACATGTGTTAGCCACCCAAATGATGTCCCTAAAGGACCGACAGTGCAGAACGCACATTAAAATATGGGTAATACCTGCCACGGTCTCGACCGAAGAGTTACCACACAATACCAGGTGCTTATTATCTACAATCTTGCCACATGCAATAGCCAAGAAAATTGTCCTAGACGGGATCTATTGTGTAACTAGCCCTGCATGCACTCAAACATCAGTGGCGCGAGATGTCATATTGCACTGTGGGTCTGTGCATGACAAGATTCAAATCACGATGGCCCAGAAAGGCCAAACACCGCTGGCTTTGAGAACTCCCAACTATCATTCTTTCAAGACCTTATCAAAGCCACCTTAATTCAACGCAAATCCTTCGGACCAGTGACAGCCTCCCCTGAGACAAGCAGGAACACCCTACATATGGGGGCACACTCTCTTGGTCCACCATGAGGGGACTGCCCACTCTCTCACAGCCACATCAGGGGCATCTGCCTTTCTAGAAGCACTGGGACTGCCTTCACCACAACCACCATATGCTGTGGGAAACATCGTGGAACCCCTGGAATGAGACACCACCCCTACCGTCCCGAGGGGATCTACCAAAATGTACCATAAGCCATAGCAAGAAAAATATATAGGTGGCACTTAGGAATATATAAGTGCGGTGCTGCTAAATCATCACATATATTGTCACTTTATATACTTAAGAAGAGATATAGACCAGAGATACAAGGTGAAAGCGCACACAATTAGAGAGTTGTTCCCTTAAAAAGATTTTACTTGATAAAAATCTAATTTCATCTATTTGATATTGTGGTGTTACAACTGGTTACGAGAACAAAAGGGATTTTTTCATTGTGGAGTATGTAACTCCTGTCGCAACACCACAATATCAAATAAAAAAAGTTTTGAATTTCTATTCCACCATTACTAAAAAGGAATATGAAATTAGATCTCTCATTACATGTCCCTCTTCCGATGTCATCTACTTACTGTGATGTAGCTGTGGTCTACAATATGTAGGCTAGACAACTAAAAATTTGAATAAGTGAACATGCCAGAAACATTAAAAAAAGGTTTCTTAAATCACAGCGTATCGTGACATTTTTTTTGGAACACCATAGTTCTAATCCAAAACCATCTAGAATTTTGCACTATTGATAAGGTCAATATTCATTGGAGAGGAGGAAACATTGCAAAGTGACTTAGTATCCTGGAGTCAAAATGTATATTTGAGTTACATAGTCCAACTCCAAAAGGATTGAATATTGATTTCGAGATTAATACTATTTTATAATGCATTTTTTTAAAGGATTCTATAGTATATAAAATGCTCTTTTATTCCCCTTTCCTTACTTCTCCGCTAATTGTTGTAATAATTTTAGCATTTGTAACTTTTTCATATATCTATTCTGTTGGGTGGTCTTTTTAGCTTTTGTAGTTTCTATGTATATCATCTTACCTTTATTAAATAATTTTTTCCTGATATATATTTTTATATACATAATTTTAATTATGTACAAAACAAATGGTATGCACAAATAGTGATACAAATAGATTGCTCTAAAACACCCGTGTAGGATCCCCTATACCAACACTGTTAAATACATACAGAACAGGAAAAAATGGATGGAGCAATATATTAGTCCTCTCTTCTCAGCTTGTAGTTCTGTAGAGACAGAGAGGTACACACAATAGTGCAGATGGCTATAGACAAGTGTGGCTAGGTGATAGATGAAAACACTCACAAACGTAGAGCCAATTGGACCTGGCTCTGGTATCAAGGCCTCAGGATCTTTTGGGGGTGATCCAAATCCCTCTGGAGATGTTCTGGATGTCCAAGGATACTTTCTTGTTCCACCATAAACAGCAAGGGATTCAATTAGATGTAGAGTAAAATATAATTTATTAATACATAAAAATATATAGGAAAGATAAGTATGAAATAACAGCCAAAACGCGTTTCGCCTCTTGGGCTTCCTCAGTTGGCTGTGTACTAGTCTCTGAGTCCTTCTCTGCCTTTAAACGTTGGTTTCGCGGTCTTTTTCAGCGTGGAACGCACCTTGCGTTCCATCTTCCTGATCGTTGGTTACTTCCGGGTTCTGTAAATGCGGACAACCACGTGGGGCGGTCTTTTCGTAGGTGGAACGCATCTTGCGTTCCATTCTCCGATCTGTGTTTACTTCCTGGCTTCGGTCATGTGTGTCGTCACGTGTATAGCGTTTCGTGCACGTGATATCTAATTTGCATTGTGGAATACTCTTTCGATGGATATTCCTCTCAGGCTAATAATTGAATAATAAGTTTACTAACATGTAAATGTGATAATCACTGTATACTAATTGACCATTATAAATGTAAATATACCTGGGTACACGACAAGATAAATGGATATATTAACAGACTCTTTGAGATGACAAAACACTTAGCTTTAAAATTACCAATTGGATAGCTAAGTTCTTAAAGTGACAGTGCATGATTCTAAACATAACCTAATCAATATTTAGGAATGCAATTGTTTGGCTCAAAAAGGCTGTTTTATACAGGGCTTCAATTTTAAAAAAAAAAAAAAAAAAAAAAAGAGAAGAGAAAGGGAAGAAGAAGAAAGAGAAAGTAATGTTAATGGATCATTTGAAACAGAATTTTACCATGGAGATATATATACATTATACCCTTATTTCCTTAGATTTGTAAAGTGACAGTGTACAATTACTTTTAATGTAAACTCAGCTCATAAGTGACTTGATGCTTGTGTGCTTAAAGTGGCAGTGCTTTTATGATGTTGTGAAAAATATTATTATACATGGTCTTGCAAGATCTTGGTTTAATCTCATATTAATCTCTAAATCAATACATATATTTACGACTAATGGATGGGGGGAAAAAATAGGAGAAGAAGAGATGAAATTTATTTATAATTTTAAAACACTTATCCCACACGGCCTTAATCAAGATTTCGAATTATGCCACTTTTTATAGTTCCCCCTTTCTTTTCTTTTTTTTTTTTTCCTTTTTTGGATGGGGAAAAAAAAAAGGAAAAAAAAAAGAAAAGAAAGGGGGAACTATAAAAAGTGGCATAATTCGAAATCTTGATTAAGGCCGTGTGGGATAAGTGTTTTAAAATTATAAATAAATTTCATCTCTTCTTCTCCTATTTTTTCCCCCCATCCATTAGTCGTAAATATATGTATTGATTTAGAGATTAATATGAGATTAAACCAAGATCTTGCAAGACCATGTATAATAATATTTTTCACAACATCATAAAAGCACTGCCACTTTAAGCACACAAGCATCAAGTCACTTATGAGCTGAGTTTACATTAAAAGTAATTGTACACTGTCACTTTACAAATCTAAGGAAATAAGGGTATAATGTATATATATCTCCATGGTAAAATTCTGTTTCAAATGATCCATTAACATTACTTTCTCTTTCTTCTTCTTCCCTTTCTCTTCTCTTTTTTTTTTTTTTTTTTTTTTTAAAATTGAAGCCCTGTATAAAACAGCCTTTTTGAGCCAAACAATTGCATTCCTAAATATTGATTAGGTTATGTTTAGAATCATGCACTGTCACTTTAAGAACTTAGCTATCCAATTGGTAATTTTAAAGCCAAGTGTTTTGTCATCTCAAAGAGTCTGTTAATATATCCATTTATCTTGTCGTGTACCCAGGTATATTTACATTTATAATGGTCAATTAGTATACAGTGATTATCACATTTACATGTTAGTAAACTTATTCAATTATTAGCCTGAGAGGAATATCCATCGAAAGAGTATTCCACAATGCAAATTAGATATCACGTGCACGAAACGCTATACACGTGACGACACACATGACCGAAGCCAGGAAGTAAACACAGATCGGAGAATGGAACGCAAGATGCGTTCCACCTACGAAAAGACCGCCCCACGTGGTTGTCCGCATTTACAGAACCCGGAAGTAACCAACGATCAGGAAGATGGAACGCAAGGTGCGTTCCACGCTGAAAAAGACCGCGAAACCAACGTTTAAAGGCAGAGAAGGACTCAGAGACTAGTACACAGCCAACTGAGGAAGCCCAAGAGGCGAAACGCGTTTTGGCTGTTATTTCACACTTATCTTTCCTATATATGTATTAATAAATTATATTTTACTTTACATCTAATTGAATCCCTTGCTGTTTATGGTGGAACAAGAAAGTATCCTTGGACATCCAGAACATCTCCAGAGGGATTTGGATCACCCCCAAAAGATCCTGAGGCCTTGATACCAGAGCCAGGTCCAATTGGCTCTACGTTTGTGAGTGTTTTCATCTATCACCTAGCCACACTTGTCTATAGCCATCTGCACTATTGTGTGTACCTCTCTGTCTCTACAGAACTACAAGCTGAGAAGAGAGGACTAATAATTTTAATTATGGCTCTTTGTTTTTATATTTGTATCCTTATTTATATGTATGGGACTTTATACCAGTTCAAAAATGGTGTCCGTGACTTCGACCACATTAAACCCGTGTGTTCATGAGTTCACTGTCCTGTGAACCATGCTGATATCCGTAGGAGGTGATGAAGCCAAAAGGAGTAACAACATCACCGGAAATGACATGACGGACGGCAAAACAAGAAGTACTACGTCATAGGATATGACGCAACGGATCAATAAACCGGAAGGCAATACGTCACAGGAAGTGACGCGATGAAGACACAAACGATTTTACATATATTTTCATGAAAGAGGCACCAATATGTTTTAGTTATGTTGTGTTGTCTCTTTTCTTATGGAAATATCTATTATTTTATTTTCAGATACTGCTTCAATATGCATTTATATCTATGCTTCCAAAACCACCAATATGGTGGCCAGATATGTCCGGACCGGAAGTACCGCCATTTTGGGGGTTGCAAAGTGTACATCTGGTTCGGACCATATATGGAAATAGGAGTATCCCATGTAACATGTGTGATCAATTACTTTTTATTGTTTAATTGATGTATATACATCTAAAAACATGTCTGCCCTGGTGTGACATTCACCAGCACCTGAGGAAGACCCGTTTTTGTGGTTGAAAAGCGTTGTGCATTTTATGTCTGGTTTTATATATATACCAACAAATAATCGTTGTAACGGATCCTATTATCCCAGTAGGAAAGATCCTTGCAGCTGAAGTAGAGCTGAAGTAGAGCAGAATAGTGATTATAGCTCTCAATCTCCCAGACATGAGTCAAGACTTAATGAAGGGGTAAAACAATCTGGTTTATTGATGGCCACAGCTCGGCCTTTTATGCAGGTCCTCAAGCAAGGGGTACTCCCACAGGGACCTTGTGGAGGACAGGAACACAACTTACAGTAACCAATCATTTTACAATAAAATATAACACACTCCCACATAAACAGTGAAATCCCTCCTCTCTAACCTGGAGATAATTGGGTCAAGTGGCCGGAGTAAACTCAATTATCTCCTTGTAAAGAAAATATTTTCTTTTT